CCTTTCGGGTCTGACTTCTTCCTCCTAACATAATGTATTCCAGACCTGTCCGTGAGGTAGTACGTTTCAGATCTCCATCCTTTTTTTATGACGAAACAAACGTTTCATTGCGACTGGGCCCAAAGCAAGATGGTGGCTTGCAGTAAGCATAATCCGTCGTTTGGTGACTTGCAGTCAAAACGCTGTTCCGTTGGTGTGCTGAGAACGTGTCCTGGAAGGCTCTGGGGAATATAGCAGGACCTCTTCCAGGAATGGAACAAAAAATATTGCTCTTAAAGTTCGCAAAGCTGAGCATGATCTCAGACAGGATTTATGCAGTGGGGAATCTGAGGTGCCTGATCATGCATTAAGCATTCATTGATTCTTTCTCCCCCCCACCCCCACTTACCAAAGGCTCAGGGTTATGTCTTGAAGGAACATCTGTCATTGTTAGGTGCCGTAGATTTGGCTCAGACTGTGCCCTTCCATGCCTGGCACGAGGAAACGTTGCTGGGTCCCACATGGTCTTCATGATCATCGGTACACTCAAGCCCATTGTTAGGGCCACTGTGTGTGTGCCTGTTTAAAACCTTTTGAGTTCCTGTATTGTTATATTTCCTCCTCCCTCGCCAAGATGGTGGGGGACCAGTCTTTATTCCTCCCCCTCCCCCCAAAGGTGCTGTCTTCTTCTCTGTGTCCTCGCTCCCCTAGCCCAGAGCTAGGGAGAGGAGGTGACAAGATGGAGATGGATGGACAGACAGATGAACAGAAGGCAGAGAAGATGGGACAGGAAGGGCTACTCTGCATGTTCTCCTGCTCTTTCCAGCCTTGCGTCTTGGGCGTGGGGGTGGGGAAAGGTGTGACAGATCATCAGGGCCAGGTTTGGGCCCCAGTTCAGTGACACCCTACTGAGGGTCATTGAAAAAAATGTGGACTCATCAAGGATGGTGGCTGGTGATTTGAGGCTGCAGAAACCCTCTCCCAAGCAGGAGGGGGCAGCACCTCACTCCTGAAACCCATATGTCATGGGTGTTCTTGTTGGGAAGGCCCCCCTGGAGAGTACCTCGGGATCCCAGAGCAGCCTGGGGTGGGGGTGGGGGTTGTCTCAGACTTCCGGGACCACCTCCAGGAGGCCCGACTTGTTGCAGTTGGACACTGGGGGTAGGAGGTAGATGGTAGGGGGTGTCAAGGGCATTACTACATTGGGGGTGCGGGTGGGAAAATGGGAAGTTGTCCCAGATTGGGGCCCCATGTCCCCTGCCAGACAGTCCCTGGTTATCTGGAGTACCCTGCAGTAGTTGGAGGGGTCAGGTTCTGGGCCCCGGGCACAGGGGAGAGGCCACAGAGGCTTCTCAGAGGTCAGGGGTGGCACGAGCACCCTCTTATCCCCAGTGCACCCTGTGCCGGCTGCAGTGGGACTTTTCTTTGGAGGCGGCTGGGGCCAGTGTGCTCCCTCCCCAGGGTGTGCCCCTTCTAGCAGGGTCTTAATACTGAAGCTCTTGCTGGGTGCCTGGGGTGGGACCTGGCCTGGCCATATTGAATGGAGGGCCCCGGTTTTTGGCGAAGGTGCCTCGAGTTCCCCTGCCCAGCCAGCATTAATGACACAGCTGTGTCGATCACCCAGGCTCATGATGAACATCCAGAAGTTGCCCTTGGCCTGGGACTCTGACGGGTCCTTGGGCACCTTTCAGAAACATGGATTGGAAGCGAGGTTGTGTTGGAAGTAGTCCTCCAACCTTTGCAGTTGTCCCTGAAGAAGAGGAATGTGGCCTGGACCTGCTGGATGATCGGGCCAGCAGCGCGGATCACCAGGGTGATCACGGCCAAGTAGGTGTAAGGAGGCTGGTTGTGGTGCAGCTATCTTTTCCTCCTCCTCCTGGGAAGCTGAGGGGGACTCCACCCCCAGGGGGCCCAGTGAAGGGTCTCTGCAGGGCCCCGTGCAGCAGGCAGACAGTCTGGGGCTGGGGCCCAGCCTTGGGGAAGGGTGCAGAACCCTGGGACTGGGTGCAGAGGTCTCACTGTGTGTTTTGTGTGCCTTCCAACCTAGGGACTCATATAACTACCAGCACGGATGACAAAAGTCTTGTCATCCACAGGGCTTTCTTTGGCTGCTCTTAGATTGTTGGGATATGCTCATAGTCTGGAAGCTCTGCTTAAACTTGTCTACCACGAGCGATCCTGCTGGTATTTGAAATATCAATGGCATAGAGTCCAGTGTTAGAGCAACACCCATTCCACCACAGAAAGACAAAGTGACAGGAGGTGGGAAGAGACATTAACCCTGCCTGATGACCTAGTCTGAGCAACTCTGGTCCATAATAATAGCTTACTGTTGACATGATGCCTTATCAATGCCACACCTGCTGTGAGTTAATCGCCTCCTGGGAGGTGGGGGAGAGAGAGAGGGGTCTTCCAGCTGGAGAGAAGAGGCCCACTTGGAAGACTAGAATGAAAAGAAGCACCCAGGGAAAGTCACGGGTGGCGGGGTGGAGGTCAATGGCGTCAGCAAATCAAACAAAATGCAGCCTCAATCCCCATGGAGTCTGGTTTCTGAGTCTGGACAACAGGCGGAGGCCGCTGGCGCACAGCAGTGAGGGCTGGGATCCCATCCATGTTGGCCCTGGGGCCTTGGGAAGGTAACCTGGGTCCATACGGAAACCCGAAGGAGCACATTCCTTGTGAGGGCAGCCATTGATACAAGCCCAGTTTTAGGAAACGGAGAGCTGGAAGGACACAGGCTTGTTAGTTTTCTGAATTACAATCGGTGCTCATCCTTATGTTAATTATTAGTACACACAGCTCTATGCCAGATGTGCTTCTAATGTGTTTGGGCACGGGAGGAGCATTCTCTTGTATAGCATTCTGAGTCTACGTAGGCAAGACCCAAGTAAACTAGGGATGGCCTCGTCTCAACAATCTTGGTTGGTCATGAAAGGCTTCACTCAGTGAAGATGCAGTGATCGCATTTGGGGACTGTATCCAGAATGGAAGCATTCATTTGCTCTGTACTGGGCACGTAGGTAGAGGTGGAGCGGGAGCTCCCAATGTGTGTGCAGGTCTGGGAAGATCGAATAGGATCCCACACTTATCTGGCCCACTGCCCCACTTGCAGAGAATTAGCACCGTCACGACTATGAAACACTTCTGCAACACAGGATGAAGTGTAGTTATCTGCTTTTGTAGCTGCCCTGGATCTTTTCAGCATCAACAGGGCATGGTATCAAGCACTCTGGGCAACATGAATACCTCCATTGTGAGCTGCCTGTGTAAACATGAAGTCCCACCAGGCCCTCACAATTCCGGGAAATGCCTTTGGGCTGGGTTGAGGAACTTGGACTTACTGCTTGAGAAAGATGGCCTTATCAGTAAGGGGTCCTGCAAGTTCTCCTGAGGGGATGGGGTCGTGATGATGCTGGCTACTGCTATCTGTGGCTGTCACAAGTCTCAAGGTCATGACTTGTTTGGAGAGGGAGGAAATGGCAGCTCTGCTGGGGCAACTAGAGAGCAAAGGGCTCTTGCCCCAAGTACATCAGTGGCCATTACTCCAGCAAAAGGGACCCATATTTTTGGGCAGGGGGCGGGGATCATGGTTTGAGAGGGCATGGTCCGTGAAGCACACTGGGTTCAGACAAAGCTCCCCAGGCAAATATTGCAAGGGGACATGGGTGGGCCGATGAAGGGTGGGGGTGCTGTGAAGGGAGTTCACGTTGGGTTTTGGTTAACTGTTCCTTCCACCAGGTACCACTGAGGGCCAGCAGAAACCCCCAACACTTGTGTCCAGTACAAGCGCAGAAGGTGCAAGTGGTTTGAGACTTCAGTGTTCTTCCATGTTCTGGGAAACGAACGAGCCTCAAACGAGGAAAGCCGCCTGCAGGAGGTGGCCTGTTGTAGACTCAGCCCAGGGGTGCTGGGTCCTGAGCACAGGAGACGCAGGGGTTAGAGGGAACACCGCAGGTGGTTCTGCTCTTGCCCAGCCCGCCACCCCCAGCTCTTCTTCAGTTTCAGGAGCGCTCAGTGACAACCTTGGCTTCCAGGTCCTTGTTGCTCATGGTGTCCTCACAGCAGCAGAATGGCATCACCTGGGAGCCAGGAAGAACACAGACACCCATCTCCGACCTGTGGTGTTGGTGAGTTTGTGTGTGTGCCATAGCTCACCAAGAGCTGCCCCCTTGGCTCCACAGCACCATTTATGTGTTTTGCTCAATCTCTCGCTAATGGTGGGCCCTTGAATTGCAGGGCGTGCAGTGAAACTTTCAACTATTGGTCAAAAGGATGGTGGTTGGCCCACCCAGAGGCTCCTGGGAAGAGGTGCTTGGGATCAGCCTTTAAAGCCCTGGGGAGTTCTACTCTACACGTGCACACTGTCACCATGAGCTGAAATCGACTTCAGGCCGCGAACACTGAACAGTGGGCTCCCAGGCTCAGCTGTGCCTCCACCAGAGGGGAGGCGTTCTCACCTCCTACCTGCTGTCACCCACCCCCAGATCTCAGCTGTGTGCTCTCCTCTCAGGAAGGCCCAGGCGATGTCACAGGTGAGTGATTGGTCTCCCCACAAATCTCTGTGGGTGTTTTAAAGCTGGGGCAGCTGCCGATTTCATTTGCATCTTCCTGTAAAGGTATCATGTCCAGACCAGGAGCAGCTGTACCACCTCGGAGTTTGTGAGGCATACAGTCTGAGGCCTCAGTGCCAACCTCCTGACCCAGCAACTCTGTGGTTGGCCAAAACATAAGACAACACGCATAACCCAACATAACAGCACAACCTAATCTAACAGAACCACAGCTCAACACAGCACAGCGGCCCCTCAGGGGATTCTGACGACACTCGAATGTGCAGAACCACTGGCTCCTCTGCACAGCAGCATGACCTGGGAGCTTGTAAGAATCATGGGACTGAGGCCGCACCGCAGACTGCAGAGCACACACAAGGTCTTCATGCATCAGAGTCGACTCCAGGGCAACAGATTTTTCCCGGCGGGCAAGACAAGCACTCTTGAGAATCAACACAAATCGTCCAGAGATTCTCGTCTTAGCTCCCATTTAATGTTAGTCATAGTAAACATTTATAAACTTTCTATATACTAAAACAAGTACATGCAGTGTTACAAATATAGAAAAGATCTTAAGTGCATGCACATTTCAAAGACCAGTGAATGGTGTCCCTTAAGGATTCTTATACAAAACTATTCAGTGCATATTGTACGCGCAGAAGGATTTCCCACATATGGAGTATTGAATATTTTACAAAAAAGTTAATACGTTAGATACTTTAGATGTTTAGCTACTCTGAACAGAACTTTTAAAATTCATCACTCACAATATATATATACACACACACACACACACATTTTCTGTTTTACACTGAGTACCTACACAGTGCAAGCCAATCAGAGCACAGGCTAGTGATACATACCTGCTAGGTGATAACATGGAACCATAAAGGGAATACTTTTGCCTGTAAATCATAAGTTCCTTTTCCACTTGGAATGGACTATACCCATGTCATCTCCAAACATAAGCCCATTTTTTTCTTTCTCCCCATTCTCTGGTTCAAAAGCCAATTATAGCCACTAAGGACTTGGTCTATTTCTCACCTGGGCAGTGATGAGATAACCCTAAAGAATGCAAGCTCTGCTCTCCTTTTAACCCTGCCGATTCCTTCCTTACACATTCCTCCCTCTCTGAGAACCCCGTGTTCACAGCTGAAGCTTCCTCTATGGTAAAATCTCCAGGTTTCCCCCACGCCATGCTGCATATTCCAGAATCCAGGTGAGTGAACAAAGACCTGCCTTCGGTGTACAGGATGGGATAGATCCAATTTTTGTGGCCTTAATTTTTTTGAAAGTTCATTAAATTGCTCTGGGCAATGAGGCTCTAAAGCACTCCCTCCAGCCCTCTCAGCACGCTACTGCCCAACGCTGGTCATTTTTCTGTCCGGGAGCCTTTCCATTCATGTGTCCCTCGTATGCTCACTCCCTGGGGAAACAGCCCTTGGCCAGGTTCGATTGACTCTTGCTGCTCAGAGGGCTGCGCAGCCTATGCCAGCTTCCAGTTCTCTGCAGGCTCCGGGCACCTGCTCTCCGGCCCAGAGCTAGGGATTTCTCGTATTTGGGTTTTCAATGAGTATCATGTGGCCTTCTTCCAGATTTGGCAGAAATGCTGTTTGATTGGGGACATGCCGTGAGACTCTCTTAAAGATGGGGAACATCTCTCCAAATCGTGACTTGGCATTTGTGTGGGGCTCCAGCTCGGGAGGGAGGTGGATGGAGCTCTTCAAACAAAGGCATGTGAAGATGGCGCTGGGATTTGTTCCAGCCTCTCTCTCTCCTATTAGACAATTAGCAAAGCAAAGCAAGCCTAGGCTAACAAATGACCACTTGCTGTTCTTCTTTAGCACTGGCTGTCCCTGGGGGTGGGGTGGGGTGGGGGAGCTGTGAGAAATCACCTCTGGGGCCACTCCACCTTTCCAAGTGCCCATCAATGGCCAGATTATTATACTCACGGGTAACAACGAGAGAAGCAAGAATGAGACACCACGGCTAACGGCTGCAGGTAGATAGATCCCCGCCTTCCCAAGATGGCAACGCTGTGAAGACCTTCACTCATCCCACAATGAGGAAGATGAGGAAGGAGATGAGAAGGATCATGGGCGGGGAGGAGAAGAAGACGATGCTCGTCCCTCGCAGCCCTCTCTGGTAGTCCAGGGACGCCTGCTGGTACTGGGTGACGCACATTTGCTCGACGACGCGCTCCATGATCTTGACATCGGTCTCGGTGAAGTTCTCCCCCTTGGTGGTGGTGGTGGTGGTGTGGTGCTTGACGGTGATGTTGACGCAGTCGTGCACAAAGTTGTTCTGGTTGTTGTACTCCTGCACGGGCCTGTAGTACACTTGGTTGGGGTAGCGGTGCATGTTTTCACGGTAGTAGCGGTCCTCATAATCATTCCCAAAATGCATGAGAGGCCTGCTCATGGCACTCCCCACCACGTAGCCCCCAAGGCCCCCCACCACTGCACCAGCCGCTGCTGCCCCCAACATTTGCTTTGCATTGGTCTTCGGCTTACTGGGCTTGTTCCACTGGCTGTGGCTGCCACCCTGTCCCCAGCCGCCACCACCACCACCATGTGGCTGCCCCCAGCCGCCGCCCCCACCACCATGTGGCTGCCCCCAGCCGCCGCCCCCACCACCATGTGGCTGCCCCCAGCCGCCGCCCCCACCACCATGTGGCTGCCCCCAGCCGCCGCCCCCACCACCATGTGGCTGCCCCCAGCCGCCACCACCCTGAGGTGGGTAGCGGTTGCCTCCAGGGCTCCCCTGGCCCGGGTATCGGCTTCCCCCAGTGTTCCATCCGCTTCCCGGCTTCGGCCGCTTCTTGCAGAGCCCCATGTCGCTGCAGGCGGCCACAACGAGAACCAGGAGCCAGCAGCTCACGGTGCCTTTCACCATGATGACTGGTCTGAAAAATGAAGAGCGTGTTAGTGCCTCCTCTCTGACCCACTCGGCATTTGCTGCGTAAGAAACGAAGGAAGGAAAGCAGTGGTAAGGGCGAATGGCAGCTAGTTGTGGGCACAGAACTAGACCCCAAGCCCCTGAGATTCTGACGTACGGAGATCCTGTGAACTGTGGGCACTCGGTGGCTCTGCCACAGTGCTGAGCTTCTTTGGTTTCTCTACCTGGCATGCCTCAGAGGGGGTAGGGGCGATGGCGGCCAGGAAGCTGTCTATCTTGAGTTATAGAGCACATCGACTCCCCAGGCATGGGGCTGTGTGTGAAGGTGATCCTGATCTACCTGAGCTCCCTTTCTGGCACCTGAGCAGTCATTTACAGGTAGGTAGGTGTGTGTGTAAGCGAGACTGGTTGCTGAGTTAACTGTGAGGACTACATCCACCAGAGAGGGGCCTTGGTGTGGTCCAACATGTATGGTGACCTTAATGTCCAACTCGGGGCTTCTCGTCCAACTGGTAGAAACGAAATAACTACAGCTTATGCTGACTTTTTCTTTCCAACTCTGTAGCACGTAAGCTGAGGCCGAGTCTCTCTCCTTTGCTGATATAGCCTATTAGCTCTACCTTAGAAATCAGTCCTGAAACCCACAGTATCCCACTTTCTCCGGGCCTCTCCACTCTTCACCCTGCACGAACCTTTCAATATGCAGATCACATGATGCTCATTCCCCTGTCCCACTTCCCAAATGGTGCCCTTTGTACTCAAGATAAAACCCAAAGACCTGACTGGGCCCTCAAAGCCCCACGCGGCCTGGCTCCCAGCTGCCTTCCCCTCTCCAGCATCCTGAAGTGCTTCAAAGGAGACCAGCATTCTCTCCTTTGTCCTGGGTCCCCACTAGAGTGAAGAAGGATCTTCCTTCTCCAGTCACACACGATTCAAATCTCAAATGCCATCTCAGAGGGGCCCTTCCACACCACTCTGGGCTAATGTAGCTTCTTCACTATCCTGTCCCTTTACCCCGCAGCTATGACTATTTACTACACTTGCAACAATGGGCTCCGACACAGGAACAATTGTGACCATGGTGCAGGACCGGGCAGTGTTTCATTCTGCTGCACACAAGGACGCAAGAGCTAGAACCCACTTGATGGTGCCTAACAGCAGCAGCAACCTGGCTCAGTCCCCACTGGATGTGAGCTGGTCAGAGGACAAGGGTCTGTTTTGTTCACAGTCGAATGCAACGCTTAGAACTACTGGTTGCCTGACTTGCAGACATGCAAAATAAGTGCTACACAAGTGTGCAAAAAAACCCCAAATAAACACACTCTCAAAAAGTACAAAGAATAATTCAACTAAAAGGAATATCTAAAGAGAGCCTCATGTATGAATTCACAAACTATTTCAGGATATTCTATTAAAATTAAAAAAATGATCAACACATTTATCATTTAAAAAAATATCCTTAGAAAATCGGAAGAGAAGGGTATTTTTCTAATGGGATAAAGTCATTGAACAAAACCAGCAAGTCTATTTCCTGGAGAAGCTTTAAGTGTATCCCCTTTAACAGCAGGAACAAGACATGGATGAGGACCATCAAGGGCTGGTGGACTTGTCTAATAACACATGTATAAGAGTAACTGGAAGGAAAGGGCTCATGCTATCATGATTTGTAATTAATGTGTCAATTTCCATGGCAAATCCAACAGAATCAACAAAGGAAACGTGAGAACCAACACTAGAGTTTGGTAAGCTTATGTGATTAAAAACCACCCTCCAAAATGAGAAACATATCTCTTTATCAGCAACAATGGACTAGAAAAAGATCACTGAAAGATATGTTACCATTCACAATGGTCGCCTGTGAAGTTACTTGATGTGGCTCTTCCAGCCACAGTCTGTAACTCCCATGCAGTGACTCAATGGGGCCATGCAAATAAGATAGAGGAGAATGCACCATGAAGAATGGTCAGCTTTGCCATCTAACTGGGTTTAAGATGAGCCAGCCTAATAGCAAGACGGGGGAATTTCACTACCATCATGAAAAGAGCCAGGGGTAGGGCATATTCTTTGGGCCCCAAGAAAGGAATCACTGTGAACCTTCTCAATCCAGGAGACAGGAGTGGCAGCAGAAGTACCAAGAGTCACAGCAATGAGTGGTGGTGGGCTTTTCAGCTCACCAGTGAATAAAACAGTGCCTTTGTGCAGAAGACTCACCTAACTAGTACCCTCTGGGCATGGCCAAAGTCCTAAAGGAATTTTGTAACACTGCCTGAGCGGGGCAGAGGCCAAAGGGTTGTGTGGCTGAGAGGCCAGGCACCAGAGAGGAGGTGTGTTTCTGGGAGTGGCTGAGAAGAGGTGCATCTGATCAAAGAACTATCCCAGAGTGTTTCTGATCCTGATTTGTAAACATTCCTTAAATAAACCTTATACTTGTATTGTCTTTCAATTCTGTATGGCCACTTCAATGAATCATCCAACCCAGCAGAGAAGCAGAGTGGTGGAGGAGGGGTAGCTGGTGCAGAAAGTTGAAGGGCAGAGTCAGGTCTGACCTCTTTCACAGGGATTGGCCTTGTGCTAATATTGGGTATGATTCTCCTACCCTCTCGTCAAGTGAGAGGAGGTCAGATGTGGCTCCCATGCCATCCTTACATAACCAGAACTTTCAAGTATGGAAAACTATAACTGGGTCACTAATGGTACATGCCAAAGTGGGTTCCGGTTGGATTAAATGTGAAAGGTCAAGTGTGATGTTAGAAGAAAAATGAAGAATTTTTATGTGGCCAGAGGGAGGTTCCGGGAGACATTTGAAACAAAAACCCAACCCACAGGCAAGTATAGTTAATGAATTTGATGACATAAAAATGAAGCATTCTTATTCAACGAGGAGGAGCGTGGACAAAGTTATAAACTATAGAATGGCAAAAGATAGTATCTAAAACCAACAGCTTTTATAAGGAATCCCCCAAAGCAATAAACAGACAGGAATTCCAATAGTAAAACAGCCAAAAGACAAAAACAAATTAATTTACAGGAGATGAAACCCAAAAGAATATGTTCACAATCAGCAAAAGCCACACGAAATAAAACCAAAATAATAAACCATTTACACTTTGCAGAATGGCAAAGACCCAGGAAGCTGGCTAGTGCCAAGAGGGCAAGGGCATGGGGCTGTAGGAACCCATACAGCGATCAGAGGAACACAGATGGTTAACTGACCAGGAAAGCACCCAGGATCTAGTCAGTCAAACCAGGACCCAAAGAGTTACGCCTACGTATATACTCCCAAGAAATCTACACAGAGGTTCAAGCCCTGTAAGATGTTCACTACAGCACTGCTTGTGGTGTGGGGACCCAAGGGGAGAGGATGGGGGTTCAGTCAACAGGCAAAAGGAGAGGAAAATAGGGTGCATGGTCATCAGGGAGCACTCGGCAACAGGTTCGTTGGAGCACAGTAGGAGAACATGCAGCACCGGTTCACAGCTCATTAGATGAACCCAGTGGGGAGTCATTAACGGCTTAGTAGAATCGCATGGTAAGCCTGTCTTAAAATATCACTATGACCATTTGTTTAAAGAAAAAAATGTCGTGGGGCAAGAAAGGAAATAGGGAGAGCAGCTGGGACAATACTGCCAGAAAATGGTGGTGTGGCTTGGATGGCGCTGAGGCAGTTGAGATAGGAGGGAGATGATGAATTTCGCAGAAGGAACTAACAAGACTTGCTGACTGGAAGGAGGAGTAAGAACAGGCGAGGGGTTCTGTGATCCTTGCCCCTTCCCAATTTAATCACTTTCCAACTTAATCAGAAGACCCACTCCTAGCTTGACGGTCTTCGAAAGCAGGTGGGGGTGGGGAATGGGGTGGCAGGGTTGCCATTTGCTGAAGTGGGGAAAACTGTGGAGAGCTATGCGGAGGAACAAAGCCCGGGGCTTTCATTTGGACATGCCAAGTTTGCCACATCTCTCAGCTCCACAAATGGTTGTGTCAACGTAGGCAACTGTTAGAAGACTGGAACCCAGCCTCTGGCAGCATGAATGCCGATTCCAAACGAAAACACCACCAGGTCAATGGTAACCGTTCTGTCAGAGAAGACTCCTCAGTGGATGGATCCCCAAGGATCCCCTCAGGAACAAAGGATGGTTCCAAATGAGGAAATCCACCAACAGGTCAAAGAGGAAATAAACATTATGATCTCTGTAGGTATTGAAAAGTCTTTTGATTAAAGCCAAAATCCATTGCTAATGTTCAGCTGCTAATAAATGAGAAAAGCTTACATAGCATTGGAAAGTTAATCCTGTGACATGGTCAGGAGCCCTAGTGGTTATGCACTGAGCTGCTAACTGCGAGGTCAGCAGTTTGAAACCACTGCTGTTAGGTGCCATCACATAGGTCCTGACTCACAGCAATGCAACACTGCCCAGTCTTCTATGAAGAAAGTGTTAAGATTTTATGACTTGAAGAAAGAATGCCGTACTTATTGATGATGCAAAAACCAATACTGAAGGACACCAATTCAATCCCAAATGATCCATAATGTCAACACAATGTTAGGAGGGATGAAAAGATTTTTAAAAGAACATCATAAAATGATGCTAAGACTAAGGTGAGGGCATTTTTGACAAAGAGGAGACTCGAGAAGGGCTTTTCGCTTTGCCAACTCCTATAAGGTGGTACCAAGTTGTGAGAAACCGGGTGGCCCGGCACTGGTGAATGAGCAGAATGAGAAAGCGGGTATAAACGAAACAGAAGGTAGACAAAGTCCCAGATGATTTCATTCATTCTCCCCCATTTATGGATGAAGCCTGACAGCCAGAGCCAGTAGAAATGTTCCCCATTATACAGCCTCAACGGGTGGGCTTTGAACCTAGACACAGTGAGAAAGACGCCCATTCCATTGCGGTAATGCCACCCACTGTCATCACGTTGATTCCAACCTAGTGACCCTCGTTAGACAGGGTTTCCACAAATCTTTATGGGAGCAGGCAGCTTCATCTTTCCCCCTCAGAGCGGCTGGTGGGTTTTAACTGCCCACTTTGCAGACCAAGAGTGCCACCAAGGCACCTTCAAGATTTCTGAAAGCAACATGTTACAACGTTAAATTGATTACATTGGAAGGTGGCAAGGAGCAACGAGCCCCACTCCTGTTCTTTCTTACATGAAGATTTACTCATTTGTCATATCTGAGTTGACTTTCAGGCTACTAAACTTTTAGTTACTATTTTTAAGTTGCTGACCTTTAAAGACCCCAGAGAAAGTTGTACAAAACTTTGTAATGGATTTTAGAGAGGCTCTTTCACTGAGTCCTGAGGTTCAGTAGGGCAAAGTATGCCAAACCTTGCCTGCCACCAGAATTACCCACAAAGCTTTGGAAATATCAGCAACCCTGGAACTTGCCTCTGGCCAACTGCCTGAAAATGACTAGAGGTGGGCTTTAGGGAATCTCTATTGGCTTCTGTGGGAGTTATATAATTTCATGTCAACTTTATAAATAAAGTGTAGGGATTGAATACAGCCTGTCAATCAGGTCACAGCTTGATGGTGCCTCCTTGTGGGCATGGCCTTCTCATAAGAAGGGCACTGGGGAACACCCCCCACACCACCACCACCACCACCCCGGCCTCTCTGGATTCTCCTTCCTGTTGATTAGCCACGCTGAGAGCTGCCAGAGCCCTGGGATGCTTCCACCACCATTGGATCTACAAGACTTTGCACCCACAGCCTGTGATCTTCCTGTGGTCTGCATCATGGCATCTGGCTGTGTGAGTCTGAAGAGGGATTTATGGACAAGTAACGGACTTATGGACTTGATCTGAACTGGGCCTGCATGTTTTCCTGACCTATAATTTGCATAAACTTTACACTTCTTGATATAAAGCTCTCTCTTACACATATACTAGTGTCTCTGGATTTGTTTCTCTACTTAACCCGGCCAAACAGCTTCCCAGGGACTCATCCTCCTAGCTGGGCTTTGGAACTAGGTCAGCAGGGACTTAACACCAACAACATTTTACAGTGATTTGCATGAAAGGGCAGAGCTTCCATGAAATGACAGGACAGTGCTCTAAGAACCACAAATGGAATACAGTAAGAGGAAAAGGATTCAAGGATCATTTACCCAACTGAGAAAAAAATTCTCCCAACTCTATGAACCAGCGCACACACTAGACGCTCCAGGGATGTTTCAGGCTATGGTTTTCCCTGCACTGGAGTCCTGGTGGCACAGTGGTTAGGTGTTGGGCTGCTAACCACAAGGTCAGTAGTTTGAAAGCACCAGCTGCCCGGCTGGAGAAAGACCAGGCTTTCCACTCCCGTTAAACAGTTACAGTCTGGGAAACGTGTCACGGGGGCAGTTCTACCCTGTCCTCGAGGGCCCTTCTGCATCAGACTCCACTTAATGGCAGTGAGTTTGGGGTGGGGCCATCACTGGGTGACACGCAGGCACATTCTGAATGTTTCACGTGCAGCATTTCATAGTTGCCTTGGAAGAAGAAATAGAATCCGACCAGGCAGAATAAACAGATAAGTCAAAACTCCAGTTTAAAAAACCTTACACCTCAGCTAGTTGATGGTCATGCCCACTGTTGATTTAGTGCAGAAATGCTTGTTATATTATTGTTGATTTCATTTTATCATGGTATTTCAAGGATGACTGCTTCCCTATGTAATTAAATCGAATACTAGAAAAAGCTGTGGCCCTTTCTCAGCACTAGCAGGCTGACTTCACAATAGTGTTGCAGTAGGTATGCATGACTTATGTAGATGCCAAACAGCCTTTCTTGACCCTCATTCTCTGTGACAGCTGGTAGTTTTCCACCATCATGAGACCAGAGATTCTGCGGGGTACTTACAATCTGCGGTGGCTTCAGCTAAGCTGGATCTGTTCTGTGAGGAAGACAGAAGGCTTCGGCTTGGCTGAAACTGGTTAATTTTGAAATATATCCCGGGAGTCCTTGAAAACAACAACAAAGAAAAGCAAAAATTGAGAACTAGATCTAAGAACTGATTTCTTTAAAGAAAAGTGCAATCTTTAAATTAATAAATTACTAATAAATCTCAAGAAAAAATGCGAGAACATTTTTTAGGAAAAGATGTTAGCATAAAACATCTTAAAATAAGAAAGTATTTTGATGTACCACTGTTTAAAAATCAGAAAGCTAAGGAAATGATTTTCTACAAAAATATAACATACCAGGACAGTGAACCCTCGCCACTTCGCGCTTTGACTTCCACGGCTTCACTCTATCGCGGTTTTTGCGTAACAGCGCATGCTGTCATTACTGCCACTGATTGGCTCATACTGTACACGCTTGATGCCATAATATAATAAATAATAAATGATAATTGTAACATCCAAAATGTTTTAATGTATTTTCCCTTTTTCGTTTAATAAATTGGGTAATACGAGTGTAATGGTGACTAAAGGGTGATTTTTCATGTCCTCTATGCTCTAACTACGAAAATATTTGATTTACAAATAAGGAATCCTACTTCGCGGAATTTCATTTATCATGGTAGGGTCTAGAACCGATTAACCGCGATAAATGAGGGTTCACTGTATTGAGTAATTAACCTATTTGATCCCCTCCCAAAAAGGAACAACAAAACCACTGAGTCTTGAAGGATGCAGGGGTGAGAAATTGTAAAGCAGCCCTGGTGGTGAAATGGTTATGAAATGAGCTGCGATTCACATGGTCAGCAGTTTGAAACCACCAGCGGCTGTGGAGAAAGACTGGGCTTTCTACTCCCATAGAGTTACAGTCCCTGAAACCCACCGGGGGTCCCTATGAGTCAGCAGCGACTCGCTGGCAGCGAGGGAAAGTATTGATCATTCACATAAAAATTGTTCTAGGGCAAAGCAGCTGATGCGAAGTGGGTCAGCTTACTCTCAGATGCAAACAATACTGATACTTCTCAAAGGATTGTTTGCTTCTCTCTTTTCTCACCAACAGCAAACTGTAGACCATTACAGCCTAACAACTCAGACCTGTGGAGTATTTTGGAAATGGCGCCATTTCCAAAGAAAACAATTCGATTTTCCACATATGCCTTCCTCTCTGAGTAAGTAGTTTAGTAACCTTTACTCTGACTGGTCAGTGTCTCCCCCATTCCCGCCCCTCCCCAACACCACAGGCTCCATAATGGCTTCTGACGGTTACATAATGTTCTTTCAGTTAATGGCCCTTGATTTTCTTAGTTTTGGCCCAGCTGTTATACACGCAGGTTGTATCCCAGCTCTAATTCTACACCACACTGCCCTGAATGCGTGCATGCATATGGCTTTTACTGTTGTTTTTCCCCTTGTAGGTAAATTCTCAGGATTGGGCCTGTAGGATCACAGTTTCTAATTTTATTAATCCACTTCCCAACTCCTTTACAAAAGGTGTGTTTGATTCACCCAATCTCCAGTGGAGTATGAAATAGGAAAAAGAATAAAGGAATCCATACTAAGGTGGGGGTGGGAGGGGCAGCTAAGTCATTAAGTGGGCTGCTAACTGCCAAGGTCAGCAGTTTGAAACTACTAGCTGCTCCAAGGGTGAAAGATGAGGCTTTCTACTCCCATAAAGATTTTCTACAGCCTCAAAAGAAACCCACAGGGGCAGTTCTACTCTGTCCCACAGGGTCACTAAGAGTTGGAAGCAACTCAGTAGAAGTTTGAGTTTGCTTTCTTGGGAAGTTGCTTAGTGCAGCTAACAAAAATACCAGTGCTTCTTCATTAACAGGATGTATTACATATTATAAGTGATAGATCATTACATCAGATCACAATATGAAAGACCACCATACAATACTGGGACTTATGGCCAAGCTATATATTGTGGGCTGACATCTATTTAGTGGTAGTGGTGGTGCACACACAATCCAATGCATGACACCAAAGGACAGGTTTGCACAGATGGGAAACAAAACCTAAAAGTACACAGCATTACCTCACCTTAAGAAAGAACAATGGCAGGATTACATAACCTGCCCAAAGTCATAAAGCTCCTTGCTGCCCTACCTTTTCTAACTCCAGAGCCTGGCCACCTCCCTGAATGGAACCTTGAACATGAATGATTCACCGGAAGCCTCCAGCAGAGGTTGCTGTTACTATTTTATTAATTGAATAGATGCACAACGAGAATCTAAACTTACACAATTTGCATTTTATTGGGATTCGTCACTATCTATTATAATCTTGGTATTTCCCTCTGACAGCTATGCAAACTATCAGATATAAATAACATACCAAGGAAATCTTAATTTTCTTTCCGTATCTAGCTCCTCCTCATTTTAAGAGTTTCTTGGTGGGCAGATAAAAATATCCCTGGGAATTTTTTTTCTCCTTGAAAGCTGAGATAGTTGTTAATTCTTTCAGAGATCCGCCATGTCTGCCTTTTCGTTCCTAGTTTTATCATTAGTTAAAAAAAAACAAACCCTTTAGGCCTATTCCATCTGGAGTCTTTTTTTTTTTCTAAGGGAAGGGGAAACATCTCGAATGCTCATTTGGCGATGCTCGAAAGATAAAGACATTACACAGCTGTTAAAGCAATGACGACTAAGGCGGTGGGGCTGAACTGTGTTAACGCTTGACTCTGGAGGTGTGGGCACGCAAAATCGGAAAGCAGGGGCTTTGGGGTGGTGAGGAGGCGGTGGGGTTTATGTAAAACGCATCTATGTGCTAGTCATCCCCAATTCCCTCCCCCGCCGAGGCCTGGAGGACCGTTGCCACTGGCCCAGGTCCCTGTGGGGCCCTGCGAAGCGCCAGGCACCTGAGCAGGGAGGCTCCCCCCGGGAGGGGCTGGGCCTCGGGGCTGCAGGGCGCGGTCCGGAGGAGCTCGGCAGCCAGGCTGGAGGTCTCCTGGGACTATATCCTCGATGCCAGGCGCCTGCTCCCCCGGCGTACTCGGCGGGCCTCCAGGAGGGGCCTGGCCCGGCTGCGAGCGGGTGGCCCAAGCCCCCCTCCTGCCCAGCACCCCAGCGGAGCGGTGATCGCCACCCCACTTCGCAGACACCTTCGGCACCAGGAGCATCCTCCGCCCCCCTCCCCCTCCCAAATAACCTGCCCCCATCCCCCACCCAATTCCGAGCAAGAGGCCGCGTCTGCCGAGAAATGCGCAGCCCGGCCAGGCCTGGATGCACCCGCGCCAGGGAGAAGCCCCTGCCCCTCCGCCGCCGGCGCCCCGCCTCCCCACTCGGCCCGGCTCCCGCCGCACCCAGTTTTCAGGACCCCCGCAGGCTCCTCTCCTGAAGAACAGGACTGTTTACCTGCCTGAGCCGGGAGAAGGCCAGCAGGAGCCGAGGAGCAGCAGCAGCTCGCAGCGCCGCGGCTGTCAGCGACTGGCGCCCGGGACTAAGACGCCCAGCGCCCGGAGGCGGGGCGAGGGGCGGGGCCTGGAGGCGGGGGCGCTCGCCAGTGGCCGGGACGGTCGGAGCGGCGACCAATGGCAGCGCGGCTTGGAGTATGATCGCCCGGCGGCCAGCGGCCGGCTTTGGCCCAAAAGGCCGGGCCCTGTTGGCTAGGCGGGCCGGTAATCTGAGTCACCCAAGGACTCCCGAGTGCCTGACTCACCTGCCTCCGCTGATACCATCTCCTGGTGGCTCACAGACGGTAGCAATTACTTTAAAAGGGAAATTTGGCCCAAGCGTCAACTTCTCCGTTATGCAAACGCAAGTTCTGGCCCTTGGATAATCAGAAATTCCGATTAAAATACCACCACCCAAACCAAATCCATCCAGGACTGTCCATCTCTCTGAAAGCAGACTGCTTCGTCTTCGCCCCTCTTGCTCCAGTGGAGTGACTGCTGGGTTCCCCTGCCAACCAGTGGGTGAGCCGCGGAATTGCCACCAGGCCTCCTTGGACATTTCTACAGAGAGAAATCAAAAGGTTCCCCTGGAATGAGTCCAGTGTTTATTAATTTCCCCAGAAACTCAGAGGCTGGGAAAAGAGCCCATTCTTTTATTTTTTTAAATCATCTTATTGGGGGCTCATATAGCTCTTATCACAATACACACACACATACATACATACATACATACATAGTGTCAAGCACATTTGTACACTTGTTGCCATCATCATTTCCAGAACATTTCCTTTCTACTTGAGCCCTTGGTATCAGCTCCTCATTCCCCCCTCCCTCTCCCATCCTCCCTCCCTTAGGAAACCTTGATAATTTATAATTATTATTTTTTCATGTCTTACACTGACCGATGTCTCCTTCACCCATTTTTTTTTTGGTTACCCGTCCCCCAGGGAAGCGGTTATAGGTAGATCATTGTGATCGGTTCCTCCTATCTCCCCCACCTTCCCCTTCCCCTCCTGGTATCGCTATTCTCATTATTGGTCCTGAGGGGTTTATCTGTCCTGGATTCCCTGTGTTGCCAGCTCCTATCTGTACCCGTGTACATGCTCTTGTCTAGCCAGATTTGTAAGGTAGAATTGGGATCATGATAGCTGTGTTTCATCAGTGCTATACTGCACCCTGACTGGCTCCCCTCTTGTGACCCTTCTGTAAAGAAGTGTCCAATTGTCTACAGATGGGCTTTGGGTCTCCACTCCGAACCCCCTTCGCATTTCTATGTTTTTTTTGTTCTGGGTTTTTGATGCCTGATACCTGATCCCATTGATACCTCATGATCACACAGGCTGGTGTACTTCTTCTATGTGGGCTTTGTTGCTTCTCAGCTAGATGGCCGCTTGTTTGTCTTCAAGCCTTTAAGACCCCAGACACTGTATCTTTTGATAGCTGGGCACCATCAGCTTTCTTCACCACATTGACTTATGCACCCATTTTGTCTTCAGCGATCGCGTCGGGAAGATGAGCATCATGGAATGCCAGGTTATTAGAACAAAGTGTTCTTGCACTGAGGAAGTACTTGAGTAGAGGCCCAATGTCCATCTGCTACCTTGATACTTAAC